ACTTTATCGCCACAGATCTCATGGAACTTGAAATGTTGTGCAAAAACTTGTTGTTGTTAATTTTCACGTACACGATATATACTTTCAATTATCTTCCATTATCAAGAGATTGCGATATAAATTAAAAAGAAGGGGAAATCGTGATCGAACGTGCAATTTCAAAATATTAAAAATATTTAAAAACGATCGACAAGAAATATTTGATACACAGCCCTCCCAAAAAGGCGTTGGCTATGTTTAACGCGGATTATTAATCCCCTTTACACGCCATAATGCGATCGACGTCGCTAATAAGCGGCACGAAAAACGCATTAACTCGTTACAAGGTAATCCGCCTCGGGTTCGCGTTAACCTTATATAAGTATCCTTCCTTTCCTCGAGGATCACGCGCTGTAATCCACGTGTTATCAACCCTTTGCACTCGTATTTATATTTAAGAAGGTCACCGATCAACTGGAATATAATTTACACTAAATAGGTATATGTCTAACGATAAAACGTAGGTTAAGAAAGAGAGAGTAGATTATAATCCTCCCTCTCCCTCTTCTTTTTCAAATTCTTTCGAAAGAAATTATATCCATTACTAAAACCTCGAATTTATATATAACGCGTCGTATTTCTACTTCTAACTATATCGGATAATAGCCGGATAAAAATTCGAGAGGAAGAATGGAGGGCGCAAACGGTCAATCCAAAATCAAGCGCGAGATCCGAGCAATTAAACGCATCCCAATTTTTGAAGGCAGGGGATCCGACGTGTACGAATCAATGGATGAATGGAGGAAAAAAAAAAAAAAAAGAAGGGAGAACAAAGATATCAAAAGCGAAAACGACCCACCCCTTGCCGAACAAACTTCCAAAAAAAAAAAAAAAAAAAAGAAAAAATAGAGAATGCCCCACTCCTCGCGCGTTCCATTTTTCGGTACACGTTTGAAAAGTTGCGTTCGAATACCGTTCGGCTGCATCCATTTAAAACTATGATCAACCATCGTGTACGCGCGCGTATTACTATACCACGTCGAATATGTCGCATTGGTATTCCCCCCCCCCCCTCCCTCTCTCCCCTCTTTTGCCATATGTGGATGCCGTATCGGCGGAAGTGACCTATCACGGAGTTGCCTCCGCCGAAACAATACCGCAGCCAGTTAACGTTCGTGCCCGCTCATCGTTCCCATTGTCTCTTCCATCCGTGCATCCGTTTTATGAATCGACACACGACAAAGTGGAGGGGGAGGGGAAAAAAGGATACGCGCAGAAACGAAACCGCTTTCGATTCTTTGCCACTGTTTTTCCTTTTTTTTTTTGTTACGAGTACTATTAATATTCGAAATAGCTGTCGAATAATCTTTTGAAATTGAAACGACGAGCGGAGATCGAGATGTTCTGGGTTGGAACGAAAGAAAGAAAGAAAGAGACAGCTGATGGGACACGGCTTTATTCCCCGGCTCTTCCCGTCTCTAAACGTATCCGTGATAGGATGTATCCGTCTCGAGGGGTACACAAGATGCGCCGTGTGTCGTGGATGATAATATTCTCTGAACACGAGCCGAGATTTTTCCAATTTCACTTGCCACTTCCCAGACTTGAATATCTTACTTATCAGGCGTGCAAATAAGTTCCTCTTTCTCTCCAACGATCGTAACTTACTACCGAGTTGGAACTAGTTCGCGCTCGTGGCGCCATCTGAAACGACGTTCTTTCGTTTTTAAGAGGAGCCGCGAGGAGCGCTCCACGAGTTTCCAAGTCCCGTGCAAACGTGCTTACGTTTCGTATTTCAGTTTGGCAAATCAACCGTCGAAGCTATTCAAACGATTCGTGCGCCACCGTATCTTACGGAACGTGCGAAAAGTAGCATCAAAGGTTCAAAATTGAAAATAATACGTAATAAAATGTAAAATATAACGTAATAAAATCTTAAATTTGGAAAGAAAGAAAAAAGAACTTATTTGCTCGCCTAACACCGTCTCGAGTAACTCTCTCGAGTCACGAGTATGTATAATACGCGTAAACTGAGCCGCCACGAGGTTGTTGTAAACGACGGTGGTTTATCCACGAATTTCCGGGGGGAAGCCATCCGACCACGATCTTTTGACAGCGAGCTTAAGGGTACATACCGCTTAACGCAAATTCCTCCCTTAAACTTGCTCGTGTTACCTTAATTCGCCCCTGGTTCCAAGGAGGCCGAATAGCGAGAGCTTGGACGAGGGACATCCGTGGAGGAGGGGGGGCAGCCGATGACCCACGGTATGCGGAGGTTATCGCGGGGCATTCTTGGTCCAGTTTGATTTAATGGCTTCCCTTTAGCCGGCTAACTTAAGCGTTATCTGCCTATATGTGTATATTCGAACCACCACGTACACGTGTGCATGCGGTACACCGATAAATCACTCTACTTGCTCCATTTACCCCGTTTCCATTTTACCACCCTCGTTACTTCCTTTTCGTTCGTATCTTATTTTGTTCTCTCTCTCTCTCTCTCTCTCTCTCTCTCTCTCTCTCTCTC